ATATTGAACATGATTGAACTGAACCTGAACCTGAACTTGACCAAAGTTCAGTTTCAGTTCGGTTCATAGGAACACTAGTCACCATTATATGACATGTTATTATTTAATAAATAAAAGGATTTTTTTTCTTTTATGTGCTTTTATCACATTCTATATTTTCTTAGCCATGAACAAAAACAAGACTTCAGATAACAACACATCTAATCTTAATGTATTGCAACAACCTAAAAGATGAAATCAAGAAAAAGTTGGTATCGTAATTAATGTTGCCTCTCAATTTTTTTTGTCATATCTTTCTATTCGTCTACACACTATACACATAGTGTTGGTCAACTAGAAGATTAAATTTTCAGCAAGGTAGTTGAATTACAAATACCAAATAATATTAAAAAATTGATCATTGAGAAAAAATGAGAGTAAAAAAGTATTTTATGCATTATTTATTAATACAAATATATTAAACTATATTTATTAACTTAATTTAGAAATCAGAACAAAATGGTATAAGAAATTTTAGTATATATTTATATATATATATTAAATAATTATTCCAAATTTATTTCAAATATATTATTAAAGATACTGAAGCTAATATGAGCAGTTCGGCAACTAGCGTACAAAAAAAAATGAGAACTTCTGATATTTTACTTAATTCTAGTCAAACAAAATTTAATTTACGAACTCCAAAAGTTTTGGAACTATCTAAGCAAATGGTCTCTGGCACTACAAAGGTTTCAGAACAATCCAAGCAATCAATCTCTGGTCCTTCAAATGTTTCAGAACAATCCAAGAAATTGGTATCTGGTCCTCCAAAAGTTTCAGAACAATCCAAACGACCGAATTTCAAAACTCCAAAACCTTTGAAACAATTAAAACGACTGAACTCCAAACTACCTGTTTTACCAACAGTAAAGTATTATCTATTATAATTTAAGAATTATTTCTTATAGATTTATTTTTATATTGATACTTTGTGGTTATGTTACTACACTAGGTTAGACCACCTTTTAACATAGAACTATTTGAAAGAACTTTACCTCCTCCTCCTAAGGTGGTTATACCTCATCCTCCTTCTGACTTCTCAGTTCAAGATGAATATAAATATTAATTATTAAGCTTTTTTTGTTTTTTTTTTTTAATACAGTACAATATTAAATTAATTCTATAATAATTAGCAATTACCGTTAATTTACACACTTTAACTAAGATATTGCAAGTTGCTCAGAAAAATTCTATTTTTTTTTTTTTTAACTCTTTGGCGGTCTTGTCAAAGCTTGAATACAAAAACATTATTTATTTAATCAACAATGGTAAACCATTCTAACTAAACTAAGCCTTAAAAATTGCAAGCTTAACATCTTTCGGCTGCGGAAACCATGCTCATGAGCGACTTGTCACACTATCTTGTATACAAGTTGGATAAACCTTGTGAGCCCATCGAGAGCTAATCTCTTCAATTCTTCTTTCTTTACCGAGAGCAAAAGAAAGTAGTAATTTTATACTAATACTACAAAAACACCAATCATGAAACAAAAAGAAAACTATATTTAATAACAAACTAAATTAAATGAAAGGGTAATTTTAAAGGAAAAAAAAGAAGGGAGAAAGGACACGTAAAAAAAGAAAAACAAAGAGAAAAGCCAAGAAGGCTGACAAAGTGGGTGCTACCTCTATCAAGAAGTAGCCAAGCAACTTGAAAGTTGCCACGAACAGAAAAAATGTACTATTATAACTCGTGCCAAGTTACAATAAAAATTTTATAACAACTACAACTGTTGTATTTCTCAATTATAAAAAACAAAAACATAATGTATATCTTGGATACCTCTTTAACCTGAGACTCTGATCCAAGTCACGTGGAGTAACGCTGTATCTTCTAAATAAACAAGACATGTCGGTTGTAATATTCTGAGTCCATCCAGATTTGGATGTAAACAATGCTAATCTTTTGGAGAGGGTAAGCCAAATCCCCACTTTTTTTTGAAATTTTTAAAAGAACAGCAGAAAGTCAAAAATAAGTAATAGAAGAGCCATTTAAAGCAGAAAAGGAGTGCAGCTTTGAAGCAGATATATAATTTGTTGTTTCCCCAGTGTTCTTCTTTGAAGTAACGACCTAAAAGCTTCGTTGACGACATTAGTCTGTTCCTGAACAACCTGCCACCAAGATTTTTTATACAAGAGCACCCCCTGCCAGTTATCTTGTATAATAATGCTCTTGGCTTACATGCCAAATGTCCCTTGTAAAGGAGTCTCCATAGTAGTAAGTTGACCTCTAGACAAACCACCGTTAGGCCACGACTCTCCAACAAATTTTTCTGTGTTTTCCGTTAGTGGGAATTTTGGTCCAATTGATCGTTGAAAAGAGTTAAAAAAAATTCTATTAAACTAAATTTGCTAACTAAATATTTAGATAGTTTGGAAGAATCACTTAATGAACAAAAGGATAAAATATCTAAGATTTTAACAAAATTAGAAAAGCCTGATGTATTATTTAGCTCTGTAGAAATTGAGAAATCCAAAGTAAAAAAATTTTATAAAAAAATGAATGATGAATCTATCAGGTATTAATATTAATGTACGATGTTATTATTTGTATTATTTGTAATATACATAATTTTATTCTAATTGTAGGATGCAATCAAGCGACTATTATACGAATTATTTTACGAACACAAACAAATTAACGAGAATAAACTTAAGAGTCGACTTAAAACAAAGCTAGAAGATGATAATTTCTGCAATAAACAATTGCAAAAGTTGAAAGAAAAAGAGATTTCATTTACTCAACTTTGGCATAAGAAATTTTATTCTGCGTTAGTATTTTTACATGCTTTTAAAATTTAAATTTTACTTGACAATGCTCATGCATTGCTACTAACTCCCATATACGTATTACTAATATAGATACTTGATACTAATCAGTTAAAGAGAGGTTATTATGTTAGACACATCAAAGAAGCTCTCTAGAGTACTTTTGGAATTAATTGGCTTAAACCATTCGAAGACAGTTACACGAAAAAACAAATGAAACAATAGAAACAACATCCCAATACAAAAAAAGTTCATGAAGAACTATATACTCCAAGTAACTCTGAAGATGCATCCTCAGATACTTACCTCGCACTAATAATTAAATATGTGTTTTTTTCTGAAGAAGAACACACATATAAGAATGCTGTTTGGACTCAGGCAGTACTTGAAGTAATGTTCGACGAATCTCATCTTTCATTAAAAATTGATACAGAGAATGTTGATATATGGATTAAGCATATTATGGATAATGATAAAAGTGTAAGTATATACTATTTACTTATACTTACTTACTTATTTATTTATTTTCTTTAATGTACTACTTTATT